AAGATTTGGAACGGATTATAACTTGGTTAAATGGAAACTATTTGTTTTTAAATTATGAAAAAACGAAAGTTATGCTGGTTGGAACTCATCAGAGATTGAGTAAAGTCACAAACTTCACTGTTAGAGCAATGGATGCCGACAATCAACAGACTACTCTCGAGAGAGTATATGTATTCAAATATCTTGGTGTCATATTAGATCCAGCACTTGCTTGGAATGACCACATTGACTATGTTGCTAAAAAGATATCATCAAGATTGGGATTGCTCCGTAGGGCACGTAAGATTTTACCAAAACAAGCATGCGTTATATTGTATAATGCGATGATACTGCCATTATTTGACTACTGTTGTGTTATATGGGACAGTTGTGGCAAGACAAATCAACAGTATTTGGACAAACTCCAAAAAAGAGCAGCAGGAATCATCGAAGGTCACAGAGTAAGCCAAACTGACCTGATTCACACTCTCAGTTGGCAATCATTAAAATTGCGAGGAGTTTACCATATATGTCTATTGGTACATAAGTGCTTAAACAATATGGCACCTGATTACTTATTAGACGAGTTTCATCATTCAGGTGAATTCCACTCATATAACACAAGAAACAGAGACCTACTTCGCCCCCTGCTGCAAGAACCTCTAAATATCAAAGTTCATTTAGGATAAATGGCGTAAGAAAATGGAAATCTCTTCCAAATAATCTTAGAAATGAGCAAAATTTTCTAACTTTTAAGAGACGTCTTAAAAATTACTTAAAGGGACTTTGAGTACTAACTTCTGTGTGCGTGTGTACTACAGGATGTTGTAATTGTTTTCGTATAGCTTAATGAGTTTGTAATTATCATAGATACAGGGCTCCTTTTAAACCAGCATTTTGCTGAACAGGATATCCCTGTCTAAATATTATTAAACTCCACTCAATAATTCGGTCAATATTTTGTAACGAATAAAGTCTATTCGGCGACCAAGTTTGTAGTTGTCTGTCCAAGAGTATTTTTCAAGAATGTTCATACAGTAAGACGATCAGGAAAATAAGTAATTTTAATTTATTTTCCTTCTGTATTGGTGGACCGCTCATATATATTCGTTAATTCTAAATCTAACAAAGTTAATATTATACAACTTATATTGTTGCTGCTTTTTATTACATGCAATGCTCACGATTATTCTACATTTTTGCATGGTATTAACCATGGATTAATTGTCACTTGGAAATTGCCAAAGACCAGGTCTCCACACCTGTGACTATTTTATCTGGCAGGTTATATGACATGCTTGATAAATGTTGTCATTGACAATGGTTGCTCGTCCATTTATTAGAATGTTGTGTAGCCGTGAAGCAGTACAAAGTAAACTGTCAACGCAGTGATAGTTTGTTTTCAACATAGTGACCAATAACATGTTTCCGGCACAATTACTAGGTATAAAGTTCAAAATAATCATCAAATTGAAGTATGTGTGTGTGTGTGGGGGGGTAGGGATTTGTTGCATTGAGTGGAGTGATGCATGCACAAGATATTTACACACAAATTTTTTTCTAGGCTGCAGCACATTAGTCTCCATCTCAGACATGCAAAATATAACTTGGTTTCTTGCATGAAAACTCACATTAATCTCAAATAAACTCACGTTTATTTTGACTTAAAAATTATTAATACTAATATAATCATCAACCATGTTATTGTTCAACTGCTGGATTGTACAATGCAATTCACACCAGGTATTAAATATCTTAATGTAGTAAGTGCACCAAGTTAATTTCACACTGACAGTCGTGTTAGCTTGGATTTTGCTTCACTGATCGGTCAATCTGACAACGGGAAACCAGACCAACAATCCTGGACAAAACTGTTGGGACACTCAACCTTTTTCACCTTTGACTTCTAAAGACAACGCCCCCGTCCCCTCCCCTCTCCTCTCCTCCCCCACCCCAATTCAATGTTGAAGGTTCTTACAATTTTAGTTAAGGATGTCCCCAAAATCAACATTGAACGGGGGAGGGGAGGGGGGGGGGAGTTTCGGTTCAAAAGCATATTTTGCGTTAAATCTGCTTTCCCTGAAGAGAATAATAAAAACATGCGAAAATTTTGGGTTGTCCCAAGGACGTTTGGCCAGGATTGTCGGAATTTAGATGATAAACTAAAAATGAAATGTGGACGAAAATCTTTGCCGTTTTGACACTAGATGATCTTTTAACGAATTATATTCATATACTCGGAAAACTACCCTTGAAAAACAGGTAACTGATGGGCTACCGTTGTTAAATATTTTTAAATAATAATTTTTAATAATACTCTCGAAGATGTAGAAAACAGTGAACCGGACTGAACTGAAGACCAGATACACTTAGATAATGTCACGGTCGCTTTCTGTTTTACAAAACTAGTCGTGGAAAACAATACAAACGAATGACCAAATACCGCACGTACAATGATAGTTAATATTTAATAAAATTTCTGTTAACACATGTAAACAACATATTAAGCAGAGACAGCTAGTACTCACGCACACTTCTCAGTAATATATTTTGAAATGCTTAACTTAATTAAAATTACTGATGAAATGTGCAGTTCTCACAACATTCGTGAATTAACCAATCAGAGAATCGCTACTTGTTTGCTTACTGTTGCTATGCTACAGCACTCAGGGAAGTGCCGGAGGTGTGTCTTTTGCAAACAAAAACGTTTCCGGTTAAAAAAATATAATATTTAAGATTTCAGCATGAATATAATAAAGTGGAAATTGAACTTTGTGTCGTGCAATTTTGGACTGAAATCAAACTTGTGATTACAAATCGCACTCCCGCTTCGCGGTCGTGCGATTTTGTAATCAAGCGTTTGATTTCAGTCCAAATTGCACTCCACTGAGTTCAATTACCATTATTAATTATATATTAATGTTTCTGTTTCCTTGAAATAAATGCCAAATTTCCCATTTAATTTACGAGTGGCTTTTACCAAGATTTTCCCAGGAAATTTACAATATTTACCAAACATTGAAATACCAAGTTTGGCATACCAAGATTTTCCCAATCGATTTAAGGTATGTACCAAAAATTTCCCAAGTTTAGGATTTTGACAATGATAGATGCAAAACGTATATAGGCATTATGTCAGCTTCTCTGATGACACCATTCACTTGTAAAGATTAAGATTGTACGCAGTCACAACTGTATAACTATATAATACAAGACATTTTGAGCATTATTCCTGAGTGCTTTAGTGACACACCTAGCCAGGTAAATATATGAATGTAGGCTGGTAGTAGTATCTTAACAATGGAAATACTTTTACACAGCGTCACACGTTTTACAAAATTCAGTGTTACTTATGATCAAACTTTCATCTTTCCTTGAAAAATATTTCGATAAACAGCCAGAACAAACAGTGAAATTTGCAGTAAGCCACGATGCTTGAATGTAAAGTATTTACAAAATGTCATGGTTCATGAGGCTCATAGCGAGTTTCGACCAGGGTATTGGGAAAGTCAACTGCGATCCGGAGTATGTCATAATATTTTTAAAAATTTTTGTGACGTAAAAAACGTCATAATTCTGATCATCTTTTCGTATGTACAAAAATCCCCAAAATGACTTCTTGGCTGCATATAATTCGCGAACCGGAAACGGACTGGTGCAGAATAGTGTGCTGCCTTTGGCAGCAACAAGGCACTCGTCGTACTACCAGTGAATGTCAACATACGGTCTGAAATGTTTACAAGTCAGATTGTAGGAATGAATTTCAAGTCCATACTGTCCTGAAGACGGAACATGGCAATGGTGGGACAAAAAACGATTCTCCATATAATTATGAATGATATAGAAATTCCACAAAAGTATACAATTTACATACAATAAGATTCATCTATTTCCAAAAAAAGTTTTCCAGAAAGTTTAAAGTTATTATAATTTATAGGTAGTTGACCATGCGGTGTTTCACTGCGAGTAGGTTATTTTTATTTAAAATTCGTTTACACTATAGAGCTTTTGTCATGAAGTACAATTGTTCGGTATGAATCTTGTTGCTTTTTCTTTCGTCACTATATATTACAAGAAAATAAATGTCTGTTCCTTTGGAAAATAGTTTTGCTTCGCTCAAATCTTCAAACCAAACTTCGGAAGCAAACATTCAGTGCATATATTTTCCCCAATAGCCTGTAACGCGTCATTGGCCGTTTTGATACTACAGCCGCATTATGCGTCCGGACGAATAATCCGACGTGACGAATCGTCCGACCAACCGATCAGATGAATAGGTTTAAAGCGGCAATGCCACTTGCTGCGCATCTGTTCTGCGCATAGATCAACTTGAAAAAGTTTACCCAACTTTTTCAAGTTTATCGAATTTCAATATGTCGTCTGACCAGGGCGCCATGAGCCGAACACAGAGGTTGAAGGAAAAATGCTGGTCGAAAAAAGGTGTTTTCGAGCCAAAAGGCGTACAGAAAGTTATGGGAGAATAAGCACAGAGGATCTATTTAAATGCTAAGGTATTTGATACGTGGCAAGAGACCATTATATGAGCATTCAAGTGACACTGACTTTGCCGCACATCTGTCGCGATTCTGGTGGCAACTGAGTCTTCGACTACAAATTTATAGAACACAATGATTCTCACATGGTACAAGAACGGGCAAACATCAGCCAAGGTATGAAAATCACGTTCACTTTTATATAGGATGTGCTTTGTAAAGGGAGTAATATTAATATTCAGTTTTAAAACACGATTTTGCAAGGTATATAAACATAAAGAAATATTGTATCAAAAATTATAAAAAGAATTGGTTTATTTTTATATAAATTACAGCATTGACCACAGGTGTTAGTGTTGTATAATATTTCATATTTCCTGCTTTCAGAACCCCAAACATCTACACCATTAAAAATAAAGGTCAGATGACAAAACCCTTTCTCATGTTGAGTCACCTGTACACAAACTACAAAAAATCATGAACCTTTCCAACAACAGAAGGACCAGGCAGTGGGATGTAAAAGTTGAAAAAGGATTCAAGTGCATTACAGTTCTCATTTCAAAGGTTATCCAACGGGCAACGGATTGACTGCATGACGGTGACTATATCACCCGCCATGTTTCCTTAAATGCAATCGACGCAGGCCACATTGCTCCCACTGTTGCACACCAGCAACAAAGGACATACCAAAAGGAAAAAAACTGATTTTTGCAATAACTGATGTAAAAGTGGCACATTCCAATTTTGTGCAAAATTTATGCAATTTCTAATGTCTATTATATAAAAAATCATTACTTACTACATACAAACATAAATTAGAATATAATCAATACAAATTATTAAAATCAAATTCCCTTCGCTAGAAAATTTATCAAAGGTTCATGAATATCATCGTTCTCTGTAACACATATAAACTCCAGGCACAGATGAATAATGTTACAAGTTTTATTTTGAAGACTACACAAGAG